ATATAGTGATTTACTTAAAACCCCACAGCACATATTACTTCCCTTTACTTCCCTGAGCACTGGCACCGTTTTCTCTGTCAATAATTACAGAGTTTAGTCACCACTGGGCTATGAGTAATTGCCTGAGGTCTTACTTTGAAAAGATAATGCCAAAAGAAAAACCTGAAGGTAGAAACTTCAGCTCCAACTTTTTACTACAAATAATAGTAGTCTATGGCAATGAAAACATTTTACTATCTTCCATTTTCAACTTGTTTTGAGAAATTGTCATGGGCCTCAAACCCACTGAAATGCCCCAAATCTACGGCATTTTTTTTTCTGCCAACATCCATATTTATTTATTCCTCATTAAATTCAATTTTAACTACCTGATTCTGGGTTTGAGGTAGCTTCATAGTGGTTCTTTTGCTAGGGAAATGGTATAGTTCTGAAGTGTTCAATTAGAGAAAGAAATACAGCACTACTTATACTGTTTCCTCACTTAACATACAAACTTAAAATAAGTCAACCATTTTTTACTGATAAAAGTACAGTTCTTTTGTGAGCATGGACACAATACACGGAATCTGTTTCTTTGCATGAAAAGTGGAATCAAGAGAAAAGGACTCAAATTCTGTCGCTACCTTCCAGTTAACCCAAGTGAGAATGTGCATAAACTCCAGCTTGTATGCATATAATTTCAGCATAGCACACAGTGACTGAATGAACCAGGAACCATGCTTTGAATTTCTCCAGGAATAGTAACCTGGTGCTGTGGAATATGCATACAGAAAGTCGGGCCCTACTGGCATTTTCTGGCATGCCATGTCATCATCAAAACCACCATCTGTCTCAATGCCACAGTCCAGTTCCGTACCCCGGCAAGCCCGAATAATGAAAAGTTTGGGTTTTCCAGCTAGACTTCTACAAAGATCGCCCCTGAAGAACTTTGTTAATCTTTTCAGGTCAACAGGTCTATTTGTTCCAAAAATTATTCCTTCTTCACCATGGCTTAGAATTACACAAATAAAGCTGCTCCTTTTGCTATGATCTTCTTTAGAAACATTGTACAACAATTCCATAATGTCTTCACTGGTAAGATCATTTTTATTTCTCACTTCGTATTTCAAGTTCATAAATGTTTCTCTGATGTTTGCTGCATCTACATCTGTACCAGATCGAGCTGTCATTCCAGTACTTTTATGAAAGTTCTTATTAATTATTATACAGAGACCCATTTCAGGATAATCCATTTTGTATCTGCCATCCAAGAATATTCCGGAGTCCATTGATTTGCTTCCATGTATGATCTTTGTTTCTAAACTTTTAATGGATTTTGCATCCACTGAGTTTTCAGTATTCTCCATGGTTTCTTTTCTTAGCTACACTCTCAGCTCCGCTAGGCGCTGCACGGTTTCAAGCTATTCTTTTTTTTTTTTTTTTGGCGGAAGCGGGGATTGAACTCAGGTCGTTGTGCTTGCCAGGCAAGCACTTATTCTACTGAGCCATCTCCCCAGCCCTTCTACGGCATTTTTAATAAGTCAGAAATGTGCAATCTCTTCTTAAACAAGAGCAGTGAATGTCCAGAATCGCCACCAGTGGCCCTCAAGTGCAGCCCCTGCCGGACATTGCACAGAGATGAACTGAAGAAAGTAAACACCCTCGTAATTACAATTCTTACCTTTCTCCTGGCTTATTGGCAATGAGGAGGACAAAGGCAATTACAAGACCAAACTCCAGGGAAGGACAGAGTAACAAAAACAAAACATTTCTGTTAAACACAAGTCAAAAGTAGGCAAATGAACAAATAGGCTGAGGACATAGCTCTCAATGTTCTAAGCACCTGCCTGGCAAGCACAAGGACCCGGGTTCAATCTCCAGTACCATATGCCCTGCTGGCCCCGGAACCCAGGCATGTTGAACCATGCTGGCCACCTAAACTGGGGTGGTGGCCCGTGCCTGTAATCCCAGCGCTGGGGAGGCTGACACAGGAGGATCACTGCGAGTCTGAGCTGTGTAGCAGAAGCCTGTACCAAACGAATAAAAGATGTTCTAGAGATTAAAATTATAAACATCAACAACTCCTTAAAACCTCACACCCACATCTCAATCCCTAACCCAAGAGTTTTTTGGAGAGAAACAAGAAGGATTTGGGAACAAAAAAAAAAGAGACTGAAAAAGCCAGAGCATAAGCCAGGACACCATGAGCTGTGAAAATTTAGGAAGACAAGCTGGGAGGAAGTGTCTCATTAAACCCACCCCCTCGGGGCAGATGGAGACCCGAGCACCACAGAGAACTGAGGGGCCCGTCCCGCGCCCCCCAGGCAGTGACTATCGAGGCAGAGCTCTGACAGCCTGCCTCCTGGGCCTGTTTCTTTGCACACTCCCCGTGCTATCACATCCAATTCAATGCGCAGGTCAGCAAGCTAGTATTTCACTGGTTCTAAGCTCCTTTCTGGCTTTCCTTGATACCTAACCCCTTACATATTATCTTTGTAAGTCTGCTTTTTAAAATTATTTATTGAAGTGCTTTAAGTGATACATCAGAACTGTACATTTTGTACAGTACAATGTAATGTTTTGATTCATGGGTAATGATCTAATTAAGGAAATTACCATATTGATCACCTTAAACTTTTTATCTTTTCTTTATGGTGAACACAAAATCTCCTCTTCTAGGAGCTAGAGATCTACAGTGCTGTTGCCAACTACATGCGCCCAACGGTGCCTCAGGCCGGCGGAACTCCTGCCTCATCTGACACTGTTCTCTCTGACTCTCCTCTCCGGAGCCTCCCTCTCAGTTCTGCCTTAAAGTTCAGTTTCCTTTGACTCCGCGAGCACGTCCAGCCTCCGTGATACGTAATCTGTTTACATTCACATCACAGAATTATTTTCCAGCACTATTCCTGGGTGTTTCTATGGCTACAGCTGTGAGCTCAGAATGACCACAGTATCCCTCTGAGTAAGCCTGTGTGTTCCAGGCCCATGCACTGACCCTGTCACACCGTCCTCCCAAGTCCCGGCCAGCTCATCCTTCTGAGTTAAGTACAAATGAGGCTTAATGTGGTGACAGGGCCCCAGCACTGAGGGCACATCACTGCTGGTTTGAAGAAGCATTATACAGGAAATGCTTTACTGAAGAAGATGAATCATTCATTTAAAAAAAAAAACACCCCGGACCTTTGTTTGGCTACACAGAGAAATGTTTTAAAGGAAATCTGTGTGAATCAGCTAATTCCTGGGCATGGAAACATGCCTAATAATAATAACAGCAATAACAATAACAGCTGTTAGTGAACATTTGGCATCTGCCAACAATTTTCACAGACGTCTTGTTAATCTGTACAGTGGCCTCACCTCTTACGTGGTAGACAGTCTTCCCTCCATTCTACAACATGGGCTGAAACAGATCAATGACCCTGATTAACAACATCTCAGCCAACTCCGCAGACTGTTCACTATTTTAACCAAAGTTTCTGCTGTGCTCTCAAAGGGATAATCACATCTTCTTCTGTAAAGAGAAGTAGGGTTAGGACATGGGCTCCTGGTGTTGAAGTGTACACTTTGGTAATTACCCTCCCATACATTGAGCCTCAGCGCAAGAGTTTGGACCAGCAATCAAGCTCGCATCGAGATAGAAAAGAATCATCCCTAAAATAAACCCAAGGCCCTCCAATCTTACCTCCCAAACTCAGCTTGTACATCGCGTTCAGCAGTCTATTCTGCCTCGGAAGCTAGAATTCAAACATTTCATCTTCATTATTTAATTCTTCTGACACATGAACGTGGCTGATAGGGTCTGGGACAGCGTGGTCCCGCTGCCAAGCACGGTGGCAGGGGCCCAGAAAAGATTCATAAACACTGCACTGAATGAATGAATGAATGAGCTAATCAGCATGTGTTTTCTTCTGTAATAATAAGTACATCCGATGTGTCCATTCCAAGCTCTATGCCAAACAGTTCACATGTATTATTTTACAGCATGACAACACTATAGGTAAACATTATTAGCAATTCTACATTTGATGCAGGAGCTCAGAAAGGTTAAGGACCTTGTTCATAGTGAGCTACCACTCTGGAGTCAAAATCAGCTATGAGTTCAAACCTGATTTTCTCAACTATCATGCAATATTCCCACTATCTTTGTCAATAATAATCGCTACTCCTACATATGTAGCATGTGCCATGTGCCATATCATACATATTACAAGTTTGTGAATTTAATCCTCAAAAATTCACTACCCATTAGTGGGTATGTTGGTTCCCCCCCCCCATGGGAGGCATTGATACAGGATCTCACTATACACTTCAGACTTATAGTGATCCTCCTGTCTCAGCCTCCACAGCGCTGGGATTACACGCATGGGCCACCACACCCAGTTTCGGGGCCAGCATGGCAAGCAGTTTCGGGGATCGAACTCTGGTCTTGGAGCTTGCCAGGCGGTGTTTAGACCGCTGAGTCACCTCCCAGCCCCCATTAGGGGGTATTATTACCACCCCTCATCACTTTGACCATGGATATGTTATTGGACCTCTGAAACTCAGTTTCCATCTATAAAACAAGGACTGTCAGAATTCACAGGGTTCCCAGGACAATTCTAGAAGACTACATAAATCATCTAGCACAGCAGCTGGGCACTCTGAAAACAAAATACTCACGCCCTTCTCTGAGGACACCTCTGCATGAATACAGTTTAATTCATCCAATGCTATTTGGAGAAGCAATTTGCAAGGTAACATGTTAGAAACATACACCAGGCCCTGAACAAAAGGCCTCAAGTCTATCATCTGGAGCTAGGTGGGAAGCAACTCTATTACCGAAGGGACCCATGTGAGTTTCCAAAAGAAATCATGCCTCTAACGATGATTCCGACAGCCCGGATAGATGTATGCAGTAATATATTTTCCTAAGCAAAAATCACACATGGCTCAAAAGAAGTAGGTTATGTTTTTAATTGAAGAATAAGGTACATACAATAAAAAGCCCTAATCTCAAGTGTATATTCAATGATTATTTTATATATGGTTACACCCATTTCACCCACCCTGGCCAAATATGGAAACTTTCCATGACCCCATGAAATTCCTTCTGATTTAAATCTAACCAGGTCCATCTAAAATAAAAATGAAAAACCAAAATCAAGTACACAACTTGAAAATCCAACGACAGGAAAACTGGATTTTTGGAAGGGGATTAAGAGTAAAACAAACCTACATCTGTCTTCTTTTGAAAGGCAGGAGTTCAGTGGTTCCTCCCATTCACCTTCCTTTGGTGTTCTGATCCTCCAAAATGACCCGGCTGTAGAATCAGCTTAATCCTCTTTGGCACTGACAGGACACCAGGGAAGAAACAAGCACAGGGTTTGGACAATACCTTCACCCAAAGCAGGAGAGTTACTAGGTTCCGGAGTTGGCCTTGCAAAGCCTGCCACGTGGCAGAAGGACAGGGCCGGGCCTGGCGTCAGGTTACCAGGCAGCACGAACGCCAGCTGCTATAAAAGCCGAGGCCAGCTGTCCCGGCCACCGGTGCTGAACCAGCGGCGCGCGCTTTGAATTTCCGCGAAGCTGCGTGCCTCTCCGGGTGGGCAAACTAGGCAGAACAGAACCAAGTCACCTGGCATTGACTGAGAAGCAATTTACAAGGTAACACCGGGCACAAGACGGAGCCCAGAGGCACGCTCAGGTGCCAAGACAGGAGGAGGGCTCTGTCTGAGGTTCTCTGAGTCTAAAAGGGGGAAACAAGCCAACTTCCTGGAAGAGATTAAAAAAAAAAAAAAAAGATTTTAAATCTCGCTAAGGACTGGTGTGCAAGAGTCCCTCACGGATTCGGGGCACGAATGCACAAAGCCTCTTGGCACCAATTACAGGGCTATCAAAATTAGAAGTCAGCACTTACAATCAGGGCTTTGGGTCAGCAAAGCCAGGTGGCATCCCGAAGCACACGCGACAACGACTTTGAGACAGGACCGGAGAAAAAACAACGTTCAGTCCCTGAGCAACCGCTTACAGCAGTGAGGCACAGCGGGCCGGTCCGGGGAGACACGCGAAACCGAAGGGAGCTCAGCAGGCCGACGGAGGTCGCGTGCCTCCGCGCTGTCCCCAGCGGGGTCGCGCGTCCCGCACTGGTCTCGGATGTGGTGCCTGGAGCGGCTGCTGCAGGGCAAGGACCGGATCCTCAGGAGTCGCGCCAGCCGCCCCAGGGCGCGCTGTCCCAACGCGTGCGCCAACGTGCTCACCCCGGACCGCATCCCGGAGTTCTGCATCCCGCCGCGGCTCGCGCCCCGCTTGGCCTTCGCCGCCCTCCGGAACTCGCGGGGCGAAGAAGCTGGGACCGACGAGCGTGCGAGCCGCACCGACTGGGACCCGCGCTCGCAGGCCGCGCTCTCGCTCTCGCACCTGCCCCGCG